CAGGATTTGGGGATGGATTTGGGGAGGGATTTGGGGATGGATTTGGGGATGGATTTGGGGATGGATTTGGGGACAGGATTTGGGGATGGATTTGGGGACAGGATTTGGGGAAGGATTTGGGGATGGATTTGGGGACCGGATTTGGGGACCGGATTTGGGGATGGATTTTTGGAAAGATTTGGGGATGGATTTGGGAAATCTGGGAATATTGGGATCTCATCCTGCAGATTCCACCCTGGGAATGCCGGGAGCGCTGCCCAGCCCCAAACTGGGCAAACTGGGAAATTCCTGGGAATTTCAAACTGGGGGAACACCAGATGAGCCGGGAGAGCTGGAATTCCCTCAGGAGAGCCGGATTAATTAATAACCACAATTAATGATGGGAATATCCACAATTAATGATGGGAATATCCACAATTAATGATGAGAATATCAACAATTAATGATGGGAATATCCACAATTAATGATGGGAATATCCACAATTAATGGTGGGAATATCAGCAATTAATGGGAATACCCACAATTAATGATGGGAATATCAACAATTAATGATGGGAATATCAACCATTAATGGGAATATCCACAATTAATGATGGGAATATCAACAATTAATGGGAATATTCAAAATTAATGATGGGAATATCCACAATTAATGGTGGGAATATCAACAATTAATGGGAATATTCACAATTAATGATGGGAATATCAACAATTAATGGGAATATCAACAATTAATGGGAATATTCACAATTAATGATGGGAATATCAACAATTAATGATGGGAATATCAACAATTAATGATGGGAATATCCACAATTAATGGGAATATCAACAATTAATGGGAATATCCACAATTAATGATGGGAATATTAGCAATTAATAATGGGAATATCCACAATTAATGATGGGAATATCCACAATTAATGGTGGGAATATCAGCAATTAATGGGAATACCCACAATTAATGATGGGAATATCAACAATTAATGATGGGAATATCAACCATTAATGGGAATATCCACAATTAATGATAGAAATACCAACAATTAATGGGAATATTCACAATTAATGATGGGAATATTAGCAGTTAATAATGGTGGGAATATCCACAATTAATGATGGGAATATCCACAATTAATGGTGGGAATATCAGCAATTAATGGGAATATCCACAATTAATGATGGGAATATCAACAATTAACGGGAATATCAACCATTAATGGGAATATCCACAATTAATGATAGAAATACCAACAATTAATGGGAATATTCACAATTAATGATGGGAATATCAGCAATTAATGATGGGAATATCAACAATTAATGATGGGAATATCCACAATTAATGGGAATATCCACAATTAATGATGGGAATATCCACAATTAGTGGGAATATCCACAATTAATGAATTTAGGATGGAAAATGACCCCCCAAAAAGCGATTTTTGGTTTGTTTTGGTGGGAATTGTAACTGAAATGAAATAAATGAGGGATAAAATGATATCAAAGAGAAATAAAATTATACAAAAGAGAGATTAAATTACATAAGAGAGAGATTAAATTATATAAATGAGAGATAAAATTTTATATATCAGAGATAAAATGATGTAAATAAGAGATAAAATGTTTTAAGTGAGAGATAAAATGATATAAAAGAGAGATGAAATGGATAAAAAGAGATAAAATTATAAAAAAGATAAATAAAATTATATGAAAGAGAGATAAAATGGTAAAAAAAGAGATTTAAAATTGTAAAAAGGATAAATAAAATTATATAAAGGAGAGATAAGATGATATAAAAGTGAAATAAAATGATATAAAAGAGAGATAAAATGATCCCAGGGTTATCCCAACGATATAAAAAATGATAGAAATTCCAATAGAAATGCTAAAAACTAATAAAATGATGGGAAATCCCATAAAAAAGGCGGATCCGTGGGATATTTCCTCGCTCCAGCGGATTCCGGGCTGGGAGGGGAAAATGGAATTTCATTTTTTTTCCCTCCGGGATGAATTCCAAGGGAAGATTTTAATGGATTCGGGCGATTCCATTTCCCCTCCCTCTGCGTTTTTTACGGCCGGGAGAATGAACGGATGTGGATTTTTATTTTTGGGGTTTGTTTTTCTTTGCCATGCACCCGAGGGGACCAAAATTCCCGATTTTTTTTTTCCCACCCCCTTCCTCCTCCTCCTCCTCCTCTTTTCCAAGCACCGAGGCGGATTCGCTTTCAAATCCCTTTTATTGACTCGTTCACGGACACAACGCGCAGGGGAAGCACCCGCGGCGCTCGCCGGGGCCACCGGGGATGGCGGGGAGAGACCCGGGGGCTACTGGGGCTACCGGGGCTACTGGGGCTACCGGGACCACCGGGGCTACCGGAGCTATCGGGGCTACCGGGACCACCGGGGCTACCGGGACCACCGGGGCCACCGGAGCTATCGGGGATACCGGGGCCACTGGGGCTACTGGGACCACCGGGGCTACCGGGACCACCGGGGCTACCGGAGCTACTGGGGCCACTGGGGCTAACGGGATCAGCGGGGCCACCAGGGCTACCGGGGCCACCGGAGCTACCGAGGGCACCGGGACCACTGGGACCAGCAGGGCTACCGGGGCTACCTGCGCCACACACACTTGGCTACAAGGCTACTCTACCCAAAACACATCGAGGGGCCCCGCCGGGAGCGGGGAGGGCACCGGGGACGGGACGGGGGAACCCCCGAGACGGGAGCGGGGAGCCCCGGGGAGCCCCCGGAGCCTCAGCGGGGAGCGCGGAGCTGTCCCGGAGAGCGCGGTGCTGAACGGGGAGAGAGGGGGGGAGCCGGGAGAAGGGTGGTGGGATCCGGGAGCACCGGGATCCAGCGGGAGAAGGGGGGTGGGGGGATCCCGGAGCACCGGGATCCAGCGGAGAGCACCGGGGACCGGCGGGAGCGGGAGTGGCAGGGATCCGGGAGGACCGGGATCCAGCAGAAACTGGAATGGGGGGATCCGGGAGCAGCGGAATCCGGCGGGAGAGGGGGTGGGGGGATCCGGGAGCAGCGGGATCCTGTGGGAACGGGAGTGGGGAGGAGCGGGGAGCAGATCCCGGGATCCATCGGGGATCCGGTAGCACCAAGAACCAGCGGGAACGGGAGTCGCAGGGATCTGGGAGCACCGGGAACCAGAGGGGAGCACCGGGGACCGGCGGGAACGGGGCTGGAGGAGATCCGGGAGCACCGGGATCCGGCGGGAACGGGAGTGGCGGGGATCCGGAAGCACCGGGATCCATCGGGGGATGGAGAAAACCGGCCGGGAGCGGCGGGGACCGGGAATCTCGGCACCCAGCGGGGAGCGAGGAGCGGCGCCAGGGAGCGGCGGGGACAGAGGAACCCCGGGATCCATCGGGGAGAGGGAAAAGCAGCCGGGAAAGTGGCGGGGATCGGGAACGTGGCACCCGCCGGGGAAAATCGGGATGAGCCGGAACGCGGTGGGGACACAGAGAGGAACAGCGGGGACAGAGCGGGGAGCGGCGGGGACAGCTCTGGGCTCAGCGGGAACAGCTCCGGGATGGCGGGGACAGCTCCGGGCTCATCGGGAACAGCTCCGGGACGGCGGGGACAGCTCCGGGCTCATCGGGAACAGCTCCGCGCCTCGACAGGAGAGAACCGGAGAGCAGAGGGGACTCACCGGGCACCGAGGAACCGCCGGGGGCTGAAGCGATTCCATCAAGGAGAATTTGGGGCCGGGGAGCTTTTTGCTTTTTGCCGTTTTTTCGGGGGTTTTTTTGTTTTGTTTTTCGTTTTCTGCCTGGGAGGGGAAAGCGAGCCCGGCGCGGGCGGGCGGCGGGGGAAGGAGGGGGAGCGGCAATCGTTGTTGTCGCCGAGCCGGTGCCCGAAATGGCAACGAAATCGTGGGAGGCTCATCCCGGCGGCACCGAAGCGTGCCCGGGGGCCGAGGGGCGAGGAGGAGGAGGAGAGGCGGGGATGATGGCTCCGGTCGTTCCGAGAGGTTTTCCCCCGGGTGGG